TGGTGTTCAAGAGGGGTGGGCAGGGGCAAGTAGCTTCTCTCCCTTGCATTCCAGCTCAGAGGCTCTCCACAGCTGTAGTCCAAGCACTCCCTCTGAGCACAAGGACTACTGCTGCTACAACCACCAAAAGGAGTCGGGAGAGGGAAAGAGTCTGGGCATGACTACCCATGTGTGTGTGTCTGCATGTGTGTTCACTCATTTAACATGATTATTAAATGCAAACTGTTCAACAACAGAATGCTTATTTTAATTGGATAAATCTTATTTGTCAAGAGCCAGATTCTGCCCTTGGATTAGATATTCATGCACAACTCCCATTGGTATCGGAGACTCAGAATTTGTCCTTAAAGGAATTGTTTGCAAATAGTATAAACAGTAGCCCTGGGGGAATTCTGTGCCAAAAATTAAAAAATCTGCACACAATATTTTAAAATTCTGCATATTTTATTTGTCAAAATAACACTATATAATCACTCCCGTTTCAATTATTTTGGTAATTTATTTCAAAATACCTGTCAGCAAGTATGTCAACAATACAAACAACAGCCCCTCTCCCCACAGAGCCCAGCTGCGGGGCACCCTCCAGACACTAGCACCCCCCTCGCTACAGAGCCCAGCCACAGCCTGGACTCCCGCCCCTCCAGAACCTTTACTTCACCTACCCTCTTTACTGTCCCATGGGGGGACATGGTGTGGAGGGGCCCTGCCCTTCCCCACCCTTTGCCAGAGCTGGCTGGGTCTCCCAGGCCCTCTCCCATCCCTGGGTGAATGAGGATAGAAGAGCATGCAGCCTCCAGTCCGCCAGGCTGGGCGCTCTGCTCACTGTCAGTTGGGCTCTACAGAGTCCAGCAGCCCCAAGTGGTGACCAGAAATTCTGCAGGGAAAACAGGGAATCCTGAAAAATTCTGCATTGTGCAGTAGTGCAGAATTTCCCCAGGAGTAAAATAGGACATACACAAAATCACACCAAACCAGTATACTGAGAGATGGGAATAAATTGATTAAAGAAGTAGAAACATTGGAAGTTTCAGCTCATGGAGGTTCCATCAGGTTCTTCTATTTTGGGGCTGGTAGAACTGGCTTAGCTCCTTCTGTACAAGAGCCTGGTAGTCCATTCCCTCAAATCAGTGGAATACACTAAAGGTAAAAGGATTCCATGCCGAGGTTCTTTGCTGTCACATTTCTACATCTTCACCATCCACCACCAGCTTCTGTTATGGACCGGAATGTAGGCAGGTTTACCTAGTACTGAGAGTAGGAGTCAGGTCTAGGGGGCAGAGCAGGTGTCCAGTTGGGGAAGCCAAGGGGCGGCACCAGAGTCAACTGCCAGTTACCAGAGCCAGCGGTCAAACCAGAGTCAGAATCAGGAATTGAAGCTGAGGGTCAGATCCATGGTCAGATGCCAAATGCTAGAACCAAGAGTCAGAGTCAGAGGCCAGGCTTGGAGCCAGGACTGGTAACTAAGGATTGGAGCCAAGATGTAAGGGCAGGAACTGGAGGAGAGCCAAGCATCAAGCATGGAACAGAAGCACAGTTGGAACAGGAGGGAAGGCAGGGGTTAAGCAGGAGCCAGGAACAAAACAGGAATAAAAACAGAGTTGGGTGCAGGATGCAACCACCACGGGAAACCACCTTATTGCTTAGACAAACTTCTGGTTCCTCCTCCTGCGTGAAATGGCGTAGCTGGACCAATCAGTGGAGCCAGGCCATCCTGGAATTACAGTGTCCATAGGCCAGACCAGGGGGGACATGATGCCCTTCTCCACATGAGACCTGATCCTGTATGCCTCACACAGACAAAACTCCCACAGACTCCACAGGACCAGAGGCAAAATCAAGAGTGACGTCTCTGTTTCAGGACGGTTTAGTAAGGAAGCATAGCAATAATCTTCACAAAAGGTTTTAGTTTAAACATGCGTCTTCTTAATTTTAACCTGATCAGCACAAATGATTAACTGCAGAACAATCCTGCACTCAAATGTTATCAGTCGGCATTCAATTCTTGTGTATGATGGCTACACAGTGTAATAAAATTCAAGGACAAAATCTCAACCTAGATAAATTGTTGTAGCTCAGTTCAAGTCAATAGAGCAACGACAATTTACAGCAGCTGAGGATCTGGCTCCATAACTTGAACTTCTTATACTTTATCTGTCCATATTCTCATGGCTGTGCTTTCTCTTCTAATTCACAGTAAAGCCCAGTACAATCAACAAAAATAACTTATTATTTATTAATTGTGTTGTGGAAGTGCCTAGGCTAGGGACCTCAGTTAGAAAGCAGGGATCATTTTGTGTGTGTGTGTGTGTGTGTGTGTGTGTGTGTGTGTGTGTAGTAAGTAAAGTAA